ATGTCAACATTTGAAATGTATGTATTCTCTTTTATATATAGGCAACCAACATTACAGAAGTTATAAATCATTTTACGTTTTTTTTTCAAGTTAACTGAAATTTTTAGTATTTGGATGAATTATTTAGCTAAATAGGTATGTTCTTAAAATATATTATTGTGTTTTTTTTTATTCGTACTAAAGGTTATACGACAATTTATTCGATGCACCAAACAGTGTGAAATTACCGTGTAGAATAATATTTTTACACTAGTTATGGATATATACGGAATTGCCTACTTTGACGCTTAAAAAACAATTCGGAATATGTTATTTTCTGTAGTAGTCGTCGAAAAATATTATTACGATGTTAATTGCATGAAAGCTAATAATAATCTGATAAAACATTATCATAAAATAAGCGAACAAGTGTTGCAATCTGATACTTCACACAACTGAATTCTAGGAATAAATGGTGACATATTTCACTCTTAAAAAATTAGTTTACGATAAGATGTTTCTCTTCTTAAAAACCAGCGAACTAATTTTACGAGCAACCTGGTAGATTGACTTAGTATCGATATAAAGCAAGGTATTCCGCTAATTCCTACCTATAGGAAAATTTATGCCGTATAAAATTCCATGAAAAACAAATCCAAAGCTCTAAGTATATACTTACCCTCAATCAATTACTATAACTAGCAGTTCCCACAAGATTTGTTTATAAGAAACCAGCTAGGTATCTCGGTAATTGTAGTTTTTTCAGAATTAATCATTTCTTTAAAATGTTTTAACGATCGCTGTGGGATTATTAACTAGTCGTCAACCAGTATTTAAGGGCGTATGCCAGTAATCGTGTGTCGAACGATTCTGATTGTAATATTTTTGTTTTTTTTGTGTCCCTCATTTCAGAAGCAATGCAAGAAGATTGGTCGATGATTAAGGAGCAAATGAACCAAATACAAATTAAAAAAATGCTATGAAAAACGCTTACTTATTAATTACGCTTACTTATTAATTTTAATTAAACTAAACTGCTTAGGCCAGGGAATAGTATTTCTATCTGTTAGTTAGATATTGTAAGTAAATAGGATTTTGTTAAATTTCAACAAAAAATTAACATTTGACTTAGAAAAAGTTTTTGAAAAATTCAAATTCGAAAACATTTCTACTTTTCAGTTTTTGACGAATCTTTACGTTTTGGGGTCCAATGAATTTGTTTTGACCCTTTTAGAGATAATGTCAGTCTGAGTGTCTGTATCTACGCTACCATAACTCAAAAATAGATAAAGACCAAAACATAGAATTTTAATTGTAAGCAAACTTTAAGCCATCCTACGATGAGCAGATTAGATTTTGGGCCTAGTCGGAGCATCTGAAGGGGTACTTTATTCGCTCCGTGTAAAGTCATGGAAAGGGAAGCAAAAGCGATACTAGCGCTAGCTGCGGATAATTCGTGCATTTTAGGGCGATATTTTGTAATTTTGGCATACCAAATACACGTATACATTTTACTTTTTTTCAAAAAAAGTAGGTAAAAACAATACAATAAGCAACCGGAGTTGCTGTGTTGAAAATTGTACAAATACTAGCAAAAAACCAGTGAAACTTATATAAAAAATTTCAGTAGCAAAGTGGAAATTAAATCAAAGAAATAAATGGATAGATATACAATAAGAAGAAAAATTACCTTTATTTTTGTAATAATAACCATAATGCTGGAAATAGTAGATATCAGAAACTTGAAAGGTTTTAAATAAACAATAAATTATCATTTTACGATGTTCTTTAATATCCCTTTATTCTTAAATGTTTATTCAGCAAGGACTAGATTTCAAGATTTTTGCCTTTGAGTATTATATGTGTTTGGAACGCAATTTTGTAACTTACCGATGGGAAATCAGTTTTAATCATTCATTCTATGTTTTCTTTCGAATAAAAATGAAAATATAAGTAACGATCCTTTTTTTTATACATTTTAACTTCACGCTATTATTAAATGGTATATTTTTATTTTGATAGAATAGGCTTATTCTTCAATGAAAACTTATTAGACTTAGGCAACTCCTCATACATTTTTCAGTAAATACTGTTGCCTGCGTATATTTTATTATTTATTTTTATCTATTATACATCATTTTCTTTAATTTAAGCGATAAAAATATATAATAATAATAAATTAATGTTTTACTTGTTTTACAAATCCATATACTTTTATTAAAACTAACATATATACTTTTTAATTACAAATTCTATTAAAAGTTGCATTTGTCAGTATACGCAGAAATAGTCCATTAGTATCAAAACGAATTGGCGCTGCTGTCGCGCACGAAGCGAATAGGGAGGTGTTTTTTTACTTTAAGGAATATTTCAGTTATTTATGTTTGGAGAAGAAAATGCTTAACAAAATAAGAGGTCTTTATAGTGCTCTTTATAATATTTTAATGCAGTATATTGAAAAATAAATAAAAAAAATATTTCGAATAAAACGGGTGTAAAAAATCTTGATCTTTAATTCATATTTTATACACTTCTTGATAGCTTTACTGGAAAGTCATGTGTTAGACAAATGAGATATTTGTTACAAAAATTTGCATAGATAGCGACCTTAAGTCCACGCATCTTAATTGGTAAATTAAAAGACTTGACTTAAAAAGTGGTAAAAGTGCGTGTGCATCTAAGTGGTATCAAAGGCGGCTACTGTAAAGTAGTAGCACAATTTGCCAGTTGTCAAGTAACAGAGATTTCAGTGATTTCAGAGAAAAGTACTGAGGAACTTTGTCCATACTCCAGAATGCATTAGAGAAAGCAACCTCCATAAAAATGTTCAGATGAACATTGTTGACCACAGTATAACTAGAATCGGCTCCAGCAACATGTAAAAGTTAAGGGGACCTAGCTTCCCGATAACAATCTGCCAGGAATATTTAATAGAATTAAATTATTTTAGTTAGAACCAAGTAATTGTATGATTTCACCCTAAAGATTTTAGCAACTAATTTTAGCAATTGATATTGTTACACACCCTGTATATTTTGACAGAATCTTTCTGTGTCTATTAGGTTTAAATTGAAGTGGTGTTACATATCTTGTAATTTCATCTGTTTATGACACTTGAAACAATAATTCTCTCTTAGAGTGCCAAAAGGAGTTTACAAGTTTCCAGCTTACGTCTGTTAGCAGGTTTCCTTTGATTTTATCAAATGAACCTTCTATGTCAATTAAAACACCTAAGGCGGACTTCTTATTGTCTATCCGGCCAGTAACTAGATGAAGGGCCGAATCAGTAGATCTGCCTGGGGTGTATGCATGTTGGTTTGGTTGTAGTGATGTGCATCCATTATGCATCTTCCGCATAGCCTTTCCAATGTCTTAATGGAAAACGATTTCACACTAATTGGTTGGTTTGTTTTTGAGACAGTGTAATCCATCCTTCTAGGTTTGGGTAAAAATACCACTTTTACTTTTTTCCATTTTTTGGGGATATACCTCAGAGCCAACGAGGATCTTAATATACCCACCAGGTGCGGTGTGAGTTCTTTCAGATCCCACTGAAGTAGGGCTGGATAGATACCATTAGGTCCTGGCGATTTAAATGGAAAGAATCTGGATATTGCCTATCTAATTTTTTTATCGTCTACAATGTGTTTGGTAGTTTACCAATCATAGACAGATGGATTGTATTATTCCTCTGCCCAGTCGGCCACGTCTGTGATGACCGAGTCTGGGAAGCGTGTTGACAGCAGAAGTTTAATGCTATCTTCGAGGTTGGCAGTTTTCGTGCCAGCCTCTTTGATTAGCGCACCAATGCTTTGGTGTGGATCTTTTGAGAGAGCTTTCTGAAGCCCCACTGCCTGCGAGAAATCTTCGATTTCTTCGCAGTAGGATCTCCATGCATCTCTCTGTTTTGTCTGACGATTTTTTTGTATTCTCTGAGGTTAGATTTGTAAATATCCCAGCTCTCTTTGAGTTTTGTGGTTCTTGCCTTGTTAAAAAATGTCCTATCCATCTTCCTGAGATGATCCAACTCGTGACACCTTCATGCGGTAGTAGTCTGATCATGTTGGACCAGCCTCAGAGGACAGGATTTCTTATAGGAATTGTTTATTGTGCTTTGGATAGTGTTCGTGTACTTTTCCGAAGCAATGTTATTGGTTGGTGTTTCGGACGCTATCTCTCTCAGAGCCTCTTGGAAAAGGTGGGTATAGGTTGCCCTGTCTGTCTTCCTAAGGTACCGAGATAGCGTGGAGTTTAGCAACATCAAGTTTATTTTGAATGTTAACCAGCTGTGGTCTGACATTGAAATGTTATCAGACACTTGCCAGTTTAGAATTGATTTATAGATACCAGTTGTGGATAAAGTGATATCTATTAGTGTTTGACTGCGAGAGTTTAAAAATGGTGTGGTATCTTTATTTAAAAAATAAAGATTTTTGGTAATTATATAATCGTAAAGTGACTTATCTCTAGCATTGTTATCCTTACTCTCCCAACTGAAGTGATGAGCGTTTAAGTCGCAACATTTTACCAGCTCAAACTTCTGTTCCAGGCAGTATTCAACCAGATCCTCTTTACTTTCTTTACTGGGTGGTGGCGTGGTTGAGTCAGATGGGAGGTATGCAGATGCTGGAATTAACGTTATCTTTTCCCTTTTGATCGCGTATTCCACCCTAACAGCAGTTAAATCGGAGGTGAAAAGGTGTGCCATTGAGTGGGTTTTGTATTTTCTAGGAATTTAAATGGCTATTCTAGGTTGTTGGTTGCTGGGAAAGCTAAAAATTGAACCATTTAGATTTTTAAGACCTAAAATATTGGTTTTTATTATCCAGGGTTCCTGGATGAGTGCTATTGTATCTTGCAGCTCATCAAGGCAAAGGCATAATGTTGCCTTAGCCAACCTTTTGTGCTGCAAGTCTTCTTCTGAAAGTGGAAAGGGAGTGGTCTTTTGTGGCTCCTCGAAGTTTTGTTGCTAAAGGTCATCAATTGCCATTTTTTCTGGCTTGACACCCTTTACAGTAGGCTTAAATTTGGGGGTCCTTTATCAAACAGTCTTCTCTGGGTCTAGCTTTTTTGACCTTTGGCCTTATAGTCAATGCAGTTAACGCATAGCTCGTCCTCATTGATTTGGCCTTTAGGGTTTCCTTGTCTTCGTCTCCGATGCCGAAGATGAAGAGATGGCCCTTAGGGTCTTTTTTAATTTCATGGTAGAAGGTGCATAATTTCGCCACATGCAAGATAGGGTTTTGCCCCTCAAGTCGCCTAAACACAACCTGTTTCTCGTCTAAGTCAGCCTGCGCTTCCCCTGGGATCCAGAGAGAGGCTTTGGTGACCTTGGGGAGCTCGTTTATCCCGACAACTGCGAGTGTTGCTCCTTCCCATGTTTTTAAGGTTGGTATCTTGGTTTTTAGCCATTCCAACATCAGGTCATTTTCGCACGATACTCTGATGATTTCACCAGAGTGCGTCCAAAACCTAAATGTGAGTGGCTTGGTTTTGCTGCAGAAGGCGGACAAAATTGTTTTGTCGAGCTCTCTCAGCAGTGTCTTTTAACAAGGATTTCTCTTTCGGTAGTTATCTTACCGTAAGTATTATCCTTGTTTATTATAGCTACTTTCAAGTGGCTCGTAGCTGCATCCTTGTAGCTTATCCCAGACAGAACTTTGTGGTCCTGTCTGGGTTTTTTGCCCTTTCCGGGCGTTATCTCGGAAGAGGTGTGAGATCGCGGCCTTTTCTTTTCTCTAATTGCGTCATGTTCCTGGCCTTTTGTGGAGGTAGAACTAGCGTCGCTGTCTACGGACTTGATTAAGTTGCTTCTGTTTTGTTTAGAGTAAGATAGTTTGCTGAGGGTGACGGTTGCCTTAGCACTGCCTGCCTGCAGCTTATCCCTCTTCCTCCTCTTTGCTTCAGACCCAGATATTCTCTTGCCTCTCCGGGGCCTGTTAGTTGGAGGTGAACTACTGAATCCATTCGCTTTTTTAAAGGTGGGCGTCGCTGTTCAGCCTCCTGTGCAGGAGCTGAACTTGGTTGTCCAGACTCCCCTGCAAAAGGTGAGCAATGACGTCCACATTTCTTCTTTTGAAGGTAATCGTCGCTGTCCAGCCTGCTGCGCCGGAGTTGGACTTTGTCGTCCAGTCTCCTTTGCTTTAAGTGAGCTTTGACGTCCAGCTTATTTGGGTTTTTGTTTTTGTGTTTGTAAATCCATATGGTTTTCACGAGTAGTTATGGAAGGAAAGGTCGACCGACGCAGAGCTCCGCATGCACATCTGCTCCTTCGACAATTCATCCGTCGGCACGTTACCTTACACCTTAGATTTGGTTCGCAGCGATAGCCTTCGCAAAAGATTTTGAGGGTTTTAAGGCTCTCGCACTCTACTTATGTCTACCACTAACCAGGTAAACCTGGCCTTTCTCCTATCCACCACCCGGAGACGTGCTCAGTTGGCACTCAACCGCTGATAATTTTTTACCGTTCTCTTAATAAGATGAATTTTTAATATTATTTGGTGCTTTGTCAAATACTAAATTAATTAAAATTAAAAAAAAAATGTTTTTATACGAGGGAAATCAAAAATACACTCAAGAGTAAAGTGCCCTTATTTATACTTTGCTAGTTGAATACTCATATAATTTCACAAAATATTCATTTAAAACGCGTACAAAAAGATTTGTGAAAAGATTGGTTAAGATGTAATTTTTTTTTAAGTATGCGTTTTTTCCATAAATAAAGTGTAAATTCGACAAAATGGGCATCGGTTAGTTATGCATTTAATATGTGACCAGGAAACACAAACATATAACATAGATGTATCATTTACATAACAAAGTAATTTACATGTTATATAACAACTCACATGATTACTGTAAAAAATTACCTAATTTTGTTACATAGCAGGTTCTCCATATATGATGTAATCCCACTATTCATAAAAACGTTAAATTAATGAAAACTTTACATCACATTGTTACATTGTAACTCTAATTTTTATCCATAGGACGGACTCATAACCATCTAAGCCCAGAGTAGGGACGTTTACTTTTGTAATCAAACAATGTAGACGTTCCAGTGATATTATAGCGCTAACTTGTTACGTTACTGGGAGTTCCCAAAAACTATGTCTTTTTAACAAACCAGATGTGATATTCCTTTTATGTCCAAGAAAGTCTTTTTACTTCTTGTAGATGTTATTATAAAGCCCATAAAATAAAATCATATTAATGAACCAAATGTGAAGTTCCAAATATGATACAGTTCATACCTTTTTATTTTTATCTTCTTCTTTTAAATTTAATATGGACTATGTTATGTAAATATTTCATCTATATAAAACAGAATAGAAATTATGTCATCTAACTTGAAGTTAAAAGATTATAAGACAAGTTAAACTTCTAATTCTAGGAAAAGTATGATAATATAATGGTCTAAATTAATATCGAAGGTAATAGTAAGAATTTTGATGAAATACTTAATACCGGGCAACCGGCTGCTCCACTTGTAGGTCCTAAAAACTAACAATATAGTAAAATTTGTTTATTTTTATATACATAGAACACACGATGCAATTGATTTTTATTAATTTATTTACCTATTCGAAGCAATCATGCGTGGGGTTATGTCATTCTTTTCTATTAAGTTTGTGAATGTTTTTTGATCTGAACACTTAATATTAGTGCGTTACCTAGCGAATTATCAGATCGGCATCTGGGACAAATTCATACAGATATGTATATAAACGTGTTTTTACATGTATTTGCCCAGGCAGCACACTTTGGTATAAATTACGTATTTTTTTAGGTACTACCATACGTATGAATACGGTTGATGTACTACCCAAATATATTCGTGAAAATGTCCGCCTTATAAACGTCGATTACTAACAATTTATCCACCTATAATTAAACGTTTTTACTATACGTCTATATTAGATTTATAGTTGTAGTATATTTATACGAATTCACTTTGGTATAAAATACGTTTTTTATGTACTACAATATACGTATGGATACTGTTGATATGCTACCCAATATATACGTGAAAATGTCCGCCCTATAAAAGTATATTTTTTTTATTTTTTATACGTCTAACATTACTACTTTATCTACCTTTAATTATTCTGTCTATATTAGACATAATTGTATGTTTTTATTAATGTGTAAAATGCGTCTACCTGATATTGTTTTAAATGTATTTCAAACACAAATTAAATAAAGTGATCAAAACAAAATTTCTAGAAGAGGCCATGGAAAAATGTTAATAATTCTTAAATGATAGTTTGGATTTTATCAATAGCAGGTGTGTGTATACACCAGAAATAGGCATTACTCGTATTTCTATTTTGGTTGTAATTGGCCTAAATATTTATAAATTTTTTTTGATCACTTGTTATATGTACAGAACAATATTTAATTAAAAAAAATAAACAATAAAATACTAAAAAATAAATACAAAAAAATAAACACTAAAATACTGAATAACAAACTAAACGAAACTTTTCTTTGCCTAACAAAAAATATATATGAAAATAAAAATCTTAGCTTAACACTTTGGATGTGTTGTGTCCTAGACGGGCCTTAGCTAACTTAAGCTAATCTTGCATGGCACACCTAATCGTTCGGTCGGTTAAGTCGCTTGGTTCACCCCCATTCCTATAACGAAAATGTAACTCAATTTAAATAAAAAACAACTGACAAAAAAAAAGGAAAATAAGTATGCTTGGAATAACTAGGTAACCTAAAAAATACGTATAAAAATAAACAAAAGTAAGGTTATGTTTTGAAGTTTCTATAATCATTTAACACACTGTACGTACCTATAAAACAGTAGTTGTTGTAAAATGCAACAATTATTAAAGGAGTAGCTAAATTAAAACATTAATAGAAACTTACCCATGCTTTTAATTAATATCGTAAAAGCCAGGACGCCAAACCAACATGCAACAAAACGTGTACATAAATAAAAATACACGAACCGATTAACCTGCTTCCACAAACCATTCCCTACACTGAACAATAATACTACACATACGCATGAGTAGAAATGAGAAAAGACCGTACCACTAGTACGTCATCCTCCATCCGCCATCTAAAAATAGTTCCATGTGTATGGGGAATTTGTTATAAATATTACAGGTAATATAATTAAAAAAATATGGATGTAATGTAAATAAATATATCTATAAGCTTTTAATTTAAATAAACCTAAATATATACATATTATTTACTTCTGTCTACTAGTTCATCGTAAACTGGTATTATGCGTTTAAGGTGACTTATATTTAAACGTAGAATAATATAGGTATATTAACTAGTATCGACAAACAAAAGCGTTTAATTTATCTGTTAAAAAACGTTAACGTATAAAAATGGTAGATGGTAAACGTTTAAAAAATCAACCGAGACGAAATTTAAACGGGAATTATAAACGAAGAAAACATATTGTAATATAATGTAAATTTATACGAATTTAATTTAAATAAACCTAAACGTATATTTAGGCCCACTGTATATAAATAGTTCATCGCAAACTAAAAATAGTCGTATATTGTTAACTATATTTAAACGTAGAAAAATTTACAATTATATACCATAGGATGTATATAAAAAACGTATAATATATCGTTTAAAACACGGTATGTATAATAATCGTAAACTGTAAACGTATACGGAATCAACCAATACCAAAATTAAACGAGTATTACGTATAAAATACGTTAGTTATACTAATGTGTGCTGCCTGGGTGGTGTTAATTTTCATCTTTAAACATTTAGAACGTTCTCAGTATATGAGCTACATGCTGGGTATATGACTTTTCCTGCTTAAGGCGTGTACTTAATATACAGTATGGTTCAAATGAAAGGAATAAATTCATTATAATGGAAGTAGTTGGTTTTTCGAAAAAATGCTCGTACAGGTCAATTTTGTTTACTCAAAGCGCAATTTTTAAATAGAATTCAATTTTCTCCCACTTCCCATTTTTGGGCAGTGACGTCATTGATAATTTTTTTAAAATAGTAACCCCAATTTTTTTTCTTGATTTTGTTAGATCTTGCAATTTCCTACTCGGAAACATAATATTTGAAATATCTTACATAACAATTTTTTTTTGAATAAAAGTCATTTAAACTTTAGACACATAAATTTTATTTTATTTTGAGAACACAACAATTGAATAAAAGATAATTATTTGTAATTAAGTGCTTAATCTAACAAAATAATATTAATATTAATAATAATAATAATAATAATAATAATAATAAATTTATAATAATAATAATAAAAAAGAATTTGTGAAATTGTCATTAAATTCTTTTTATTATTATTATTTTTTTTTTTTTAGATGAAGCACTTAATTACAAATAATCTTTTATTCATTTATTGTGTTTCAAAATAAAATAAAATTTATGTATCTGATCTTAAAATAAC